TGATCAAGAAATGGAAGTGACTATTTTCTGGAGAGAAATTTCAAAAAAGCTGGAATTAGAAGAGAGGTAAGTCATTGCAGGTAACACTGTTTCTGGAAGAGAAGTCACTCTGGGGCAGTAAGATGCAAGTAGGTGTCTTGGGTGGTGCATCGGTTAAGAGGCTGACTACTAGCTTAAAGGTTGGCAGATTGAATCCACCCAGAGACTTCTCAGAAGACAAGCCTGGCCATCCCCTTCCCAAAGGTCACAACCTTGAAAATCCCATGGAACACTTCTACTCTACACACATTGGGTCACCCTGAGTGGGAACTGACTCAACAGTAGCTAACAATAACAGAGATGCCGCCCCACCTTGGACAAAATAGTAAATAGTTAAGATAGTAAAGTCTGTCTTCAGTTCCTTCTCTTTGAACTTTCATTTGTTTACCAAGTCAATTAATTTCTCCCATTTTATCTGTTCCATTTTAGAATTCCAAGGTCATAATTTTCCTTTCTCCAGATAGCTATTGATACACACAGTCAATCTAAACATTCTTAACTGTTCAAAACTCAGTTTCCTTTTCTGGAATTAAAGAAGGTACAATAGGGGCTGAAACTCATTTTCTAAAATCACCTCCATAGAGATCACTTTTTATTGTTGCAATGGTATATATGTACATAGATAACCTTTTACAGGCCTATGCCAATGTTAATAGTGATTATCTCTCACTGACAGTCATTTTATTCTTTATACATTGTCTTTCCTGAGGTATTTGTTTTTCTGCAATGAGCATGTATTATCTTATTAATTAAGCAGCCCTACTGGCTCAGTGATTAAGTGCTCAGTTGCCAACTGAAATTAGAGGAATTGCACTCCTCTAATACCTGAAATGCTATGGCCAGGTATATTCATTTACCAACTGAAAAGTTGGCACTTCAAACATTGTTATGCAGGAGAAAAACCTGAAAATCTGCTTCCCTAGAGCTTAAAGCCATGGAAACCCTCTAGGACATTTCTACTCCATCCTATAAGGGTCACTAGAAGTCAGAATCTACTTGAGGGTAAACAAGAAAAACATCGTTTTCATCAGAAAACAAACAAACAAGCAGTAAAGCCCCTTTGAATTGATAAGTTTCTGTTTTTCTGATTTTTTTTAAATCAAATAACAATAGAAAAGAAGGACAAAGAAAAACAGTAAACACAAGGAAGTGGTGGGAGGAGTGCTGTTACATTGTGGGGACTGCATTCAATGTCAGGAACCAAAATGTGGATGAACTGTTCTTTAGCAAACCAATGTGCTCTGTCAACTGTCACACAAATCACAATAAAAATTTTTAAATAACAAAATCAAAGCATAGCAAAAAATACCAAATAAGTAATATGAAAATTTAAAAATTTTAAATATTTAAATAGAATGAACAGAGATAATACTATTTTATAGCAATATAATACATGTAATTTATTTCATGTAATTTATTGGTGATTGGCCAATCTACTTCCATAGTGATACCACCTCAGAAACCCAAGGAGGAGTTGTTATGAGTCAGATCTGACTCTATAGCAGTAAGTTTAATTTTTTTTGGATGTCATAATTAAAGGAGATATATACATATATCCAGGAGCTCTGGTAGCATAGCGCCTAAGGCACTTGACTGCTAACCAGAAGGCTGGCGGTTCAAACCCACCAGCCACTCCTCAGAAGGAAGATGGGGCAATCTACTTCCATAGATACTGCCTCGGCAACCCAAGGAGGGGTCGCTATGAGTCGCCACCGACTCGACGGCACATAACAACAACAACATACATATATCCATGTACAATTCAGTTGCATATTGTTTTCTAAGGAGCTCTGGTGGTGTAGTGGAAAAGGTATTTTGCTGCTAATCAGACGGTCATGACGTCAGCAGTTCAAACCCACTAGCTTCTCCACAGAAGGAACCTGGGGCAATCTACTTCTGTAAATATTTATAGCTTTGGAAACACAATGGGGGTCACTATGAGTCAGAATTGACTCAATGGCAGTGAGTTTTTTTTTAATTATTCATATACATTCAGTACATATTGTTTTATAACCTACCATTCAACAATTACTATAAATATTTTTTCATAGTACTTTTGTATCAGTTTTTTTCCCCTTCATTTTGTTTTTATTATAATGTGTTTGCTTAATTTACAGCAAGCAGAAAATGAGCTTGGTCTTGTTTTGATCCAAACATTGATGTTTTAAAGGTTGTACGTGATATTTGTTAAAAAGAACATATAAAAATCCCTTTTAGAAGCATCTGTAAGATAGAAAATACAAAGTTTAACCCCACAACTTTCCTCTTTGCTAGAACTGCAAACTACTGCTACAGTTTTAAATAGACATTTTATTGTTTAAACCATACATCCAGGAAAATCTAAAAAAAAAATTAAAGAAACGTGCATATAAATGATTGCATAGCAGAACATGAACACTAATGAAAGTTACAAATACTATCAAATATACAAAGATTCTAGAATCAATCCTTCAAAACACATTCCACAAACAGCAGTTTAAAGCCATTTTTTTGTTC